CTGAAATGAAGGTAATTTTTCAGTTGATGACCCGAAATAGGTTAAATCTTGATTATCATTCTTGATGGTAGGATAAACTTCTTGGATTGCTTTATTTTGGAGTTTTTTTAGAAAGAATACTTTGTATCAGACTAATGTTGTATCCGTTGTTGACTGCAAATTGTTTTATAATATTGAGTTCTTTATTGAAATTCACTTCTGAAAGAGGGACATTCACTAGCCTGTTTATCATAACTATTATATGCTGCAATTCAATTTCGATAATGATGTGTTGAATCATTATGATTAGTGATATCAGTGTGGAAAGGTTTATGGAAAATTGAAAAATCATGTTCATCATTAATTTCAATTATTGTCAAATCCAAGAAAATGAAGGAATAAAACTCGATCATTTCGAATCATTAGAAATCAACAAACTTAAGAATATTGACATTCCACTTAACGATCAATTAGACCTCAATAGTTCACCACTGTAGAATTTGTTTTCTTAGTAAATAATAATATTCATTTGCTACCCTTCCAAGTTAATCCGGTATTAAATATAGATATTGTGCCAAATTTCCGAAAATGAAGGTTCATCGAACCTGGCCACAGGTAACTAATCCTTCAAGTTGAGAAAATAGGATATATAAGTACGAAAGCGCTGAAGGGACATGGTGAGCTAGTTATCTCATTATTATGAGATAACTAACTCATTTTTACGAGTTAAGTATCTCATTATAACGAGATGAATTATCGCATTATTATGACTTAGTTATCTCATTATTATGATGTACCCTAATTCATTATAATGACTTATTAATATGCAACGTTGCCAACATGTACTGATTTTCTATTTAGTGAGAATAGTCAATTAGACATCTCAATGAGAATGTAAAGATACAATACATATAGGCATAACCTACTAATATAGGTTCATTTTGTAAAATCTATCAGATATGGTTGCCAACTCTGTGTAATTTTTCCTTCTATATAAATTGAGTTGTTTCAGATATCGTTTCACCTGCCTTTCACTGATCACTATGTCCTAATATTCCAAAGAGGCCTTTATTTCAGAAATGTTGAATCCTATCTGTAAATAACTTTCAATAAGATGCTTGACATCCATATCATCTACAATTCTATGATATATCGAGCCCAGTTCAACAGAGAAGACGAAAAAGAGTTATATATTTTATCACACAACCTCACTACAACTCTCTCGAAAAAATCTGAAGCCCAATTACTATCAATGAGACATGATGGGAAAACTACACGAAAACTGTGGCAACTCAGCAGTTGCAAAAATATTGTCTAAACATTTTCTGTTATCTCATTATAACGAGATAAAGTATCTCATTATTATGACTTAGTTATCTCATTATAATGAGTTAAGTATCTCATAATAATGAGATAACTAAGTCATAATAATGAGATATACTTTATCTCGTTATAATGAGATACTTAACTCGTAATAATGAGTTAGTTATCTCATTATTATGAGATAACTAACTCATTATTATGAGATTACTAACTCATTATTACGAGATTAGAAAAAATCTACCATGTCCCTTCAGCGCTTTCGTATATAAGAGTTAAGCAAGCCAACGTTGATTTTGTTCATTGTACCAGTATATCACCTGACGAAGCTACTGTGTTAGCGAAACATGTTGTGTTCAAAAATTCTGTGGAAATCCTATCGTTTGTTAAGTTTTTATATCTGTCATGGATTTCCATCTAGTAACGGCCGAGACAATTCAAGAAAAAAAGTCCTTTGCGAGTTTGTGAATTTCAAATTTCCTTCGCTGCTTCCAAAGTTATGTGTATGGCCGTGGTAGTCAAACCTGGTAGTTAACTCGTGATCCATATTATATCCAGTTGCTTTTAGTTTCGTGAAGTCAAAAAGTGTCATCAGGATTTACAAAGGATGTTATCAAGAATTATTCCAAATTCCGAGAGAATGTGAAAATTGGTGAACGGATTAACATTATGAGAACCTTAGGATCCATCCTTCTAGCCATAAAATTATTGGTTGGCTGTACATTTTTTTCGCCGTTTTGGGATATTATGTTTCGGGCTAAAACCAATTATAGATGCTTATTGAAAACGCTTATTAGGATATTTTAGACTAGAGTGGAATTGATTAGACTATTTGCGTTTTGTATTTCCCATTTTTGCGTGATGGGTGCCTAATTGCCTACTGTTAGTTAAATTAGAATATGTACTCAATATATTTAGATTTGTCTGTTTATATTGTCTATACATCTTTATATCTCTATACCATATCCGAATTCTAAGAATAAAGAATTCTCACTGTTTGTAGTTTCAAGGTTTGTTTCACTATATCAAAAACGAGAAAACCTTTCAATGTTTCAATTTCCAATAGAGAGTCAGTATGATATTCGTCGTTTTTGGTAACAAAAGTTTAAAATCCTGAAATAACATTCCTATTTTAGAGATGATGCACGAAGCTGGGAAGAAAGTATTTCTGAGAAGTTGATAGAACTATATAAAATGTTGGAAAGTACTATTAGAAACGTATCTAGGGCAGTTTTGTGAAAACGTGTCCAGGACAGTTTTGTTGAGACGTGAGACGTGTTGAAACGTTTCATGAAACTTCAGTGGGGTAGGACATTTGAATTCTCTGGGACGTTTCTGAAACTCCAGAGAGATTTGAGTAGAATGGTTTTAGTTATCCATAACACATTTATGTTCCATCGTCCTTACTGGAACAGGTCTCTTGGTTTCACTTGTACAAAATTTTCCACAAACACAAGGTACCCTGATAATACACTTATGTCCCATGGCTATCCTTAGGAGGTCCTGTCGGGACATTCAGGACGACCATAGGACGTTCGAATTTGGTACCGTGGACGTCCATTGGACGTCTGTGGGACGCACAAATGTCCCACTTGAGGACCAACTAGGGACGTCCTTGAGGGATGTCCCTGGGACAACTTTCGACTACCTAAATCGTACAGTATTCCTCATCGAGCAGTACAGAGGATATCCTTAGGACATCTATAGGACAACCTACCAGCAACGCTGAGGGATATCAATTGGATGTCCATAGGATGTCCCAGGGACGTACGAATAATTCTTGAATTTGAATTTTTCTGGGTTCCTCTAGGGAAAGATCTTGCATAACTGATTAGGACATCCAGTTGAGTTGATGCTCCGTAGAAGGTCCCCAAAAAGTTTCCCAAGGATGTCCAATGGACTTACGTGAAGGACATTGACGAGGAGTACTTATAGCCTACGAGCAATCATTCGTCGGCGAGGTGGAAGTCAACGTCCTCGCAGGGACAACATATTGAACCGACTGGAACGTCCATAGGACTTAATTTCTCTAGGACATTGAAAGAGTACAGTTTATGTATCAATTGGGATATCCGACGGATATCCCTAAGGAACACTCGAAGGATGTCCCTAAAGGACATTTCGATTGTTATACGATCCTGGAAATATTGAGGGCGTCTGTGCAGAGATATTTGAAGGAATGTACCATCAGGGACATTTCATGGTTGTCTAGAAGGGACATTACATAAGATCAGAAGTCATGCCAGAATATGTACTACTCCGATGGATGTCCCTAAAGAAACGTTTAAAATCATATCCCATCAGGGACATGTCAAGGACGTCCTTGCATGAACATTCTACAATATGTACCACGTGGGACGTCTAAGGGATGCTATTTCTAGGACATTTGAAATAATGTACCAGCTGGGACATTCCGTGGACGTCCTTGCTCGGACATTGCATGAGATGTACGAGATGGGACGTTCCAAGGACACTTATTTTTGGTTCGGGACATTCGGACGTGAATTGTACCAAATAGGGACGTCCCTAGGACGTTGTGTGCTATTAGGGTATACTGTAGTTACAATTTTTTGACGATTATTTTCCATTTTTTGATTTTGTTTGAGTTAGAATTGATCTCATTGTAAATACAATATAAAGAAAAAACACATCGACAAATCTAAACTAGCTGAACATATTCTTACTGAAGATGGACAACATATGGCAGAGTGGAATAATATTAGAATCATTGGAAAAAATGATAACAACCATAAAAAAATCAAGGAATCTGCTTGCATTCTCCTGGACGGGGACAATAGCATTGTTTCCTATTCAGTTGATATAGAAAGAACATGATAAATTCGAGATTGATTGATGAAAACATCCTGTAACTCATTTGATTGCCGACGTCACTAATTGTCACTGAGAACTGAAAAGTGTCAGGACAAAGGAGAATTTGCCATACAAAATAGTGATTTATTTTACTAAGCAGAAAAGCACAAAAGTCAATGTCACGGCTGGCGTTTTATAGACAAGGTGTAGCCGAGGCTAGAAAGCCAGCGTAGGCATCAAATCTGCTCTTCTGCCGTGTGAAACATATACTTTTTTTCTACAAAACCGTCCAATTTCACGCAAACTTCAAATACTCCATCATTTTGTGTTCACCCTACGTCAGTGTGAATTTTGATTAACAATTTGATTCTAATTATTTTTTTTCTACCTAGGCAGTGAAAGTACCGTTTTTCTACCTGTTGAGTTCCATCAAAATGCCACTTTTAATGTCATTTGGAGAAAAAATCCATTTTTTATGCTGACAACTGATTTTTCCCAATTACACGTATATTGAAATAGTATTCATATTTTTATTTTATAGCGACGATAGAATATAATATTATGTGCTGTCTGAGAATGAGTTTTATTTCAAAGAAAAAAGTCTGAATTTGAAGAAATCTGAAGAAATAGAAAATTCGAATTATTGTGGAAATTTCGAACTGGTTCAGATACATCACTCGGTGTAGTTCATTCCTTATCTAATACTCATTCGTATATTTATTTACTACCTAATAAATAAATGGCAGAGTCGAGCCGACCCAAAAATTACCATCATCATAAATTGGTTAGACAAACAAATTGCTAGGAACACATTTTCATCATCACCAGTCCACTCTATTTTAACAGAAACTCAGTTTCCACATTTTCAGTGTCGAGATAGTTTTCTTTATGTCCACTAGAACAGTCATCTGAGTTATTTAAAAGTTGAAGTGGAAAGTGTTTCAGAAGTAGAGGAATGCGTACTACCTATAAAAAAGTGTTTGTATCAGTCGAAGTGTCTGAAATAAAACATAATGTGAATGTGTGGTGGAAACAATACGTTACTGGTTGAATACCTGAGAGTTGAAAACAATCAAGTATATTTAACACGTTTCCTAAATGTTCTACTTCCATGTCCGCGATATCTCACTTATTTTCAAAGATAGAGATTTTCGGTTTTCGCAAACGTCGGTTAGTTTTTTGTGAAACTCACGATAACGCTAACGAAATCTTCATAACTCGCTTCGGTTTTGAGGTACAGGTCACGTAGAATCTAATGGCGTAGTCAGATTTTCCAAATGAGCTATAATAAGTTAAATATTCCTGATGAATGAATCACCCTCTGTATATTTTTCCATATTTCAAACAATGATGCTTTGCGCTTTCCAAAAATATATAAGCCTCATGTGATATTTTGAGTATTACCCATGAAAGCTTCTAGTTTTTCAGTGGGTTTTCCATCGATGAATCTCGTGGCAACATTGTCCATTTTTCAAATTTTCACATTCACCTTATTGCTGACACAATTTCTGTCACACACTTGTTCCAATTTTCACAACAATCAACATGCACAAATATTTAGCACCATTTATTGACTATGAAAGCAGTGGACCTTACTAGAAAAAAAAAGCGAGCATATAGAATAGAAATTTTTTCTACAAGCGTGCGTGATTCACCCTATACCCGCACGCAATTTAGTTCGGAAAGTGTCATTTTCCCGCAACATTGCGGAAAAATTTTTCCGCACTAGTGAAAAAACAAGGATATCATAATGTGGCAAAATATAAGAGATGGGTGATGGAATATGAGACTTTGAGCGTTGATTGATATATTACGCTTACGCTGGGAAGATGCCCAACCTTATGGGGCAAAACGAGGTCCAGAAAAATCTCACAACTAGATGGCGTACCATAGTTCGAAATCTCACATAGTGGCGGCGATAGTGTCGAACGATGTCGGAGCAATACTTCGTAATTTGACGGGCAGGTGCGCCACTTACGAAGAGAATCTATTGGAATGCAGATGGCGCACGACTTGGAACAATTAAACAATCCATAATCCGGAACGGTTGTATCGAATCCATGATGAATCAGTACGATTCTAACTAATATGGCGGTAAATTCGAATTTGTTATTAATAGCAGAGGTAATAGTTGTACTGGATGTGCTTCTAACGAGCGCATCACGGACGTGAGATCATGAAAAAAGTTTATAGAAATCGAATTGGAGTGAATCACAAAATTTAATTAAATGCTTCCATTTTTGGCGATTGTGGAATAAACTGGTCAGCGGATATCAATATATAAGCTGCTCCTAAATTTGATTGAAATTCACGAACCCGGACCAGTGTTGTCACCTTAGTGTATTTTACCCTAGAACTGAATCTAAATGGGTCTGTTTGAGTGGAATTTCATATTTCATTATGTCGAATTACTAAATCAAACGATAATTCACTGTCGCAAATAATTTTCTTGTCAAAGCTATGTACAATTTTTGAAATTTTATTGAAATTACTGATATTTATCACATGAAAAACGCGGAACATTGCGTGACAATTCTATATACCGCTATCAATCCAAAGTATTTTATGCTGGTATATGATGCGACCTATATGTATTGCCGAAACTTGGAGTGCCAATAATTTCCTTTGATTTTTGTGGGGCGGCCGACTCGGTGCGTTTGTCGGCGATAGGGCTTGCAAGCCGTCGTTTGTCGCCCTAACAACACAAGTACATCCTAGGGACTTCCCAGGGACGTCCCTAATTTTATACAAGGACATTCCAGAGATATCCTTTGTCGGGACAGAGTACATACTAGGGACGTCCCAGGGACATCAGCTGGATGACAAAAAAAGCATCCAAGGGATTTCCGTCTGGTACGTCCCTGTGATGTACCAAGTACGAAGAAAAGGATATCCCTAGGAGGTCCCAAGGATATTCCTGGGACATCCCTTCGACGAAAGAAAAAAATGTAGGTCGAGTAGGGCTTGAACCCGGGACCTTTAGCTTTTTCAGGCACGCACCTTACTCCATTGGCTGATATGCCTTCTGGAGATTTATGTACCAAACAGATTTTTAAACAGGACCAAACTGCAGAAACCTGAATAAATACAACTTTGTTAGGATTTGGGTATAATTATTATCATTCGTGGATGTTTGAAAATGAGGGGCATTATGCATTTACGATTTCTGTTTGCGAAAAATGGTAATTTCTTGAGAAGTTCTGACTTTCTTTATTTTTATTACAATTATTTCCCGGAAAAAAAACAAACATTTCCATATAAATTCAACTCAATATTTTGATGAAAGTCAATGACCCTGATGTGAATAGATATCAGATATACCAAAGACACGAATTGGATAACCTATGGATGTAACGGGGCCGGATGTCCACTGGACAACCACTGCGGGACATCCCCTGGATACCCAAATTATGTCCTTGTACCGTGTGACAAAGAGGGGAAGTACCTATAGTACATCCCTGTGTTGTTAGGGCGGAGATTCTGAGCGTTCCGTAGTCTGTACTCCGTTGTTCTGGAGCGGCAAAATCGATTCTACTCAGAAAAAGTTACTGGTATCACAAAATATCAACGCCGATTTCATGATTATATATCGTGGCATATAGACTGGAAATGTAGCTGTTTTCTGTTGATTTTGTTTTTATCTCTTCAAATATACCAAAAAAGAATTCATATTTTTCAACAACTAGATACTGTAAAAAATGGTTCATAAGCTTGCAGCATCAACTCTTGTAATCCAATAAATAAATGAATTCTATATATATGTTCCAATAGTTATGACTCACTCTGTATATTATGCCTATTATAGATGATGTATTTTATTTCATTTTTATAGTGAACCATTAACAATCAAAGATTCAATGATATCTGACTATTTATTTTCTATCTACTGATGAGACTAAGAAATTATCACATTCAGATTGATTATATTATCAATATTTTATAATGTCTTATTAATACAAAACTTTAAAATGGATACAAATTGAGTAAAAAAAATAATCAACGAAAAAGGCGTGAGATGTTTTTCCAGATATACAAATTATATTGGTTCTAGGGTCTAGGCAAAGTATGACAAGTTATTCACAAGGGAATTTAAAAAAACGCCACGGAGTAGGAACCCAACTGAGTGAGAGATCATAATATGTTCTTCTCTCTTCCGCAAGGAACCGAGGGAAAAATCAATACTGTCCATGGGATTCACCGACCGTAGCAAACATTTTTTTATCGGAACCGGTCGGGCGGGTCGGGTCTCATCGTAGAAGACAAGGATAAACAAAAATTTCTGGAGCGATAGCACGCGGTGGGATGGGATCTGTAATTCTGCACAAAAGTGTAGTAATCTGTACAATTAGTTCAGACATGTTCTGTGTGCCTAGTGGAGTCGCTACCTCACAGTGGCTAAACGATAGGCGAGGGGATGAGAGGGGCATCGACTCGCAAATAACACAGGTTGGGCATCTTCCCAGCGTAAGCGTAATATATCAATCAACGCTTTGAGTTCGTTTGTTGCAGTATTAAGTATGTATGTATGTTCAGAATCATCCATCGAATTGTACTATTCATTGTTGAAATTGAGAAATATTGAAAAATAAAAATTGATAATTATAAAAATCCCCCTATAGATTCGGATTGATCTGATGGGAAACTATTATTGTTCATGCCAATAAAACCTCAAATGAGTTTGTAATTGTCGAAGTTACAGACACAGCGTTACTGTCATTTTCGATTCAGTGGAATTGCCACAATGTGATCAAAAACTTCCAGCTATAGGGATGCGATAAAGATGCGTTATTGCCATCGAAGTCTTAAGAATGGTATGAGAAGCTATAGGCGATTCATGCTAAGGAGTACTCCCTCTACCGTTGTCTAATATAACTAACGTAAGGGCCATTGATTGCTTTGTTTACATTAGTTTGCGTGTATTTTGTATGAGAAGTAGTTGTGTTTTAATTGTCTATAATATTGTTTGAGAACTTATATAAACGTTTAAAAACATGAGTCATCATTGTTGTGTACCTCATTGTTCATCTTGAGCAAAAAAATCCCGAGTATAGCTTTCATTCCTTTCAAAAATCAGACAGTCTAAATTTGTATTTGAAACTAATAATTTGGGAAACAAGGAAGTGATCGGTAGGAGAAAGCTGTGGATTCATAACTTGAAGATTGGAAAAAGTGTAAAGTGTCTGAACATAATGAGATATTGTTCTTTACACTTCACTGAAAATGTACTCATACCTATAGGTATATTTTCAAATGTATGTCTATTATGAATATAATACCTACTTCTTGAGGTGGTGATAAAAGAACAATTATATCTTTACTCATGAACAGTAGAATTTTTAAACAGTAAAGAATGTTATCAATCAGGGTTTCGATGATTATGTTGTAAAAAGTCGAGTAGAAACTGTTTACCTAAATTCACCTTCCAAAGAACACTTTATTCCCAAAAAGTTTGCTGGATTTTGTTTTAAAAATATCATGCACTATCAGGGGAATATCCCAGCTACATATTCGAATTGGAAATCAACATCCCACACAGGTTTTCATGAGAATTCTTGTTCAATAATGATAAAAATGATGTTGGTATATATGAAGTTCAACTAGAGGTAGGGAGGTTATCTAATTTTGAACAGAGATAATATAGTCCTCAATCAAAACACAGTAGACCGCTGGAAAATACAAAGTTCGAAAATAGACAAATAACAAAGCTGGACGTTTGAAAACTCAAAACGAAATGAACATAAACACCATTACCAAACAATGTAAACAATCCGCCAATGACCCATAGAGTAGTACCGACATTCGCCGTTCTGGCGCTACGATCTTAATCTCAGTCGCCTATACACGCGTTTTATTGAATGGTGCAACAATAATGAAGAAATGAAATAACCGACTAAAGAAGATGTATTTTTGGCTCATTTCCTAGAAGTGTCTGAAACCTAGAGACTAAACACCATATGGGCCTGCTGGCTTCCGCAATG